CTTCTGCTACTGCTGCTGCTGCTGTTGCTGCTGCTGTTGCTATGGCTCTGGCTTTGGCTACGGCTTCTACTAATTACGACGACGACGACGACGACGACGACTACTACGTACTACTACTACTACTACTACGACGACGACGACGATTGCGACGACAACTACTACTTCTGTTGCTGCTCCTGCTGATTGCCATTGCTGCTGCTGTAGCTTCCCTGGTTCCCTCTGCGTTAAAACTCATTGTGTCGTTGATGGCAGTGATCGTGGTGCTGCTTCTGAGTGCGTATGAAGTATGACGGAATAGACTGGGAAAGGGTCCCGAAATGGATACTATCACGACAGTTCCTGCTACGGGTGCTAATAACTATGCGTTCCTGTCATGAACAGCGTTGCCGCTGCTGGAAAGTCAAGCCTTGGCAGCATGATTTGTTGTGAGCATAGTTTGGCATCGTTAAACCTGAACACTGGGTTATAGTTCTTTCATCCACAGTCATCACCGCCGTTCGAGAGCTCTGGTAAAAGCAAGCCCGACAGAGGCAAGGCGCGCTAGGTAGGGGTCGATGAACGCCTTGCCAAAGAAACCCTCCACCTGCTTTCCGAAGATGCAGATGGCCTGAGCTGAAACAGAAGGATGCCCGGAAGGCTCCTGGAACTGCAGCCCGCCATCTTCCCAATTATTGGGAACCGAGCATGCCGGAAGAGAAAGTTATATCATGGCACTCAAGGCCAGATCTCCATTGCTTTGGTAAAGAAGACCCCCTCATGAATGCGAACGCTCTTGTCTGACGACCTTGCACAACTAGTGCCGGCAGCCCCAATTCTTGAAAGCGTAATTTCCTCAACGCGGCGCAGCCACGAAAGCACAATGGCAATTTCAAGCTCAGACATTCGGAAGCTCGGAAGCCCCTTAGCCCGAGCGAGGCGAGGCCTTGATAAAGTAGATCCGCACACGAATTCGCGAAGGGACCCGCTCCTCATGAGGGAAGGTAGTAAGGTGTCTGTTTGAGCCGTCGGCAATCCAGCACAACCCTGGTAGGCTTGACCTTGTCCCCCGACGGCATGCAGCTCGTAATGCAAGATCCTGCACACTCCGCTATTATATTGAAGTGAATGCTACTAGAACCTCTGCTTTCTGGAAAACGGTTCTTCGGATCATACCTGTTCCCTGTAGCTCTGGTCGAGTTGCTGGCGACCCATATGCCCTCGAAATCTGTCATTTGACAAGCTTACCATAACTTTCACATTCAGCCCTGAAGTGGCAGGGCTGGTCCCTCCTTGTTCTTGAAGCGTGATGTCAACTTGGCGACGTCGAAAGCATAAGAATCCAGATCGTCGTCAAATCCCACAGACCGCCGAAGCTTTGCGATGTCCTTGCGCTTGGTCGTTCCCAAGCCGGTACCCTAGTTCTTGACATCGTTAGCGAACTTACATACCAGGACTAGCACATGTCTTGCGTAGATGCTGCCGCCTCGCATTCTAGCATCCAGCAGGCATGCAGAGCAATAGCATCTGCAACATGTTCAGTGGGCATGCATGCCGAAGCTACATGAGTTCCATGCACGGGGGGAACTGATGTCAGACTGCCAGCGGCACTATAGCCTGGCACATCTTCGGCGTATGCAGCAGCTGGATGGAAGATGCAAGAGAACGGTGTCGTGCTTCTTTAATTACATTCTCGTGCGATCTCCGACGGACAAACTGTGTAAACTTGTCTACAGCAAGTGCTTAGTGGTGAATGGTGAGGAACAGCAAGGGGGAACCTGAGTATGTCGGCGGGAACCTGTCGGCGGTCCTCGTCGGTGACAACTGCGCTTTGAGTATCATCCGTCTTGCTCCGCTTCCGGGCATCAGCACGAACATTGGCCAGTGCTGCCGAGTCATCAAGAAGCCCCACACCGGCGCCAGTGTCCAATGGGGACCTTCTATCACATTCGCGTGAGGCAGGCGGTGACGCTTTCCCAAAGTCAACTTTAAGGAACCATGTTGTCTGTCAAGCACTGTCAACTCTAGGCTGAGAGAATCAGGACTCAGCTTACAAGCTAAATTTCGCTCAGAGGCTGAGCGACCACCGGTTCCACATCCTTGACCGCAACTGGCTCATCCTCATCGTCTGACTCCTCCGTGTGCTTCTGCTCATGATCCTTGGCTCCAAGAGATCGCAGTGGGTGTGCACATGCTGATGTTGCAGAACGGGGCATTGACAATGCATTGCCCCAATAAGAACATGCGTTTTTTCCTCCACTTTAAAATTCGGTAGTTCATGTTCTGTGCAATTTTATCTATTTCCAATACGGCATGATCATCGAAACCTGGGACGTTACTTGAAGCTCGGCACTTCGAGGGCGCTTGATTGCGAGTCGTGAACCGTTAGTTCAACGGAAGCGGCTCTTGTCTGGTATAGGAGGCTGTCTGCTGAGCTATGCTTGAGACCGAACCCCGAACCGGTTGAATGAACGCTGCCACCGGCTTCCTTTACGCGCATAACTGCTGAAACCATGGTAATGCGATCCTTGAAATCAAGCTCAGCTTGCAGGCCTCGTCATCCCCCTGCGGCAGATCCTCCCAGCCGTCCATCAGCTTGAAAACACACTTGACAAAGCCGAAGACCTGGTCTCATGTTGCTTTACCAAATGATGTCTCCGCCACCGTATCTGCTGCAAGTGTTGCTATCTTACGGAAGGGCCCTACAGCAAGAACGCCAGTCGCCCTTGCCCTCGTGCCTTGTCGTGCATGAAGTTCCAGTCTGGAGCTGTCTCATCGCTTAGGTCCACGATGTCCGCATTGCGCATGAGCGGGGCATTGTGATACCAGAAGTCCTAGGATTGCACATGGCTGCGTGTCCAAGTTTTTGTGTCAATTGCGTGAATGCACATATGCAATGCATGCATAAGCACATACACATTCACATACGCATACACATGCACGTGCACACACATACAAACATGTATACATACATACATACATACATACATACATACATACATTTTTAGCACTCGCACTCGACGAATCAGGCGAGGTGTAGGGGGAACCAAATTTACAGCAGGTTGCAGCCGAGATCAGTCCAACACATACATTTTTAGCAATCGCACTCGACGAAGCTCCAATTACATACATACATACATACATACATACATACATAACACACATTACATACATACGGACATACAGACATACAGACACACAGACACACAGACATACATACATACATACATACATCCATCCATCCATCCATCCATCCATCCATACATACATACATACATACATATGCACATGTATGCTGATGTGATGTGTGTATGCACGTGTCTGCAACACATGTCCAAACACTGAAGATTGCGAAGTCGAAGCGGCAAGAATATACACACAGACCAAGTCTTCCCTTGATGAAGCACAAACGGCGCCTATTAACAGTACGCTTCAGCCCTGAATCCCCCAATGAACTTCATCTGCTTAACCAGTGAAACATCAAGAGACTGGCTGGAAGACGTGCACCTGCTTCGAGTGCTCCAGCTTGCCTGTCCCAAAAGCTACTCTGAGCGTGCGATCGTCGCGATGCTGGCTCTGGTGATTGTGCTGATAGCCATGGATGCGACAATGATCACCATCTTGCACCAATAGCAAAACGCCCACAAGCATCCCACCCAGGCAACTGTTATGCACCCCACATACCCGCGCAGAAAGCACACCATCATTATCCATCATTCTTGGAGACCGTCAGCAAGTCAGTTTTGGTGTCGACAGAAACTGCCACAGAAAGCTACATTGAACAAAAAAAGCACCCCGAGAGCCTCTCAGCCGCAGGCCCGTTGACCCATCGGAGTCCTTGTTGGACCGCTCCCCAAAACGTTTTCCGAAGCTGCTCCTCAGGAGATGACCGAATTCAGCACACGTTGGACCTGTTTCCATCGCAGTCCGAAGCCAACCCGCGAACAGTAGGAAAACCAAGAACGGCCTGAAGGTAACGCCAAGGTTCAAGCGCTCCATGTTCAGAGCATGCTCTTCGCGCACTCGCAGTGGTTCTTTGACCTCTGGCAGGTACCTCAGCGACTTGGTCCAGGATGACATGTCATTTCTTTCGGCAATGCTCCCAGTGACAATTGTATACCAAGACAGGTGCAGGCCCCTTTCTTGGCATGTGACTGCTGCCATCTCTCACGTAACCAACTCGCTTGCCAACCCACAACACAAGGCCACTGTCACCAGCCGGTTCACCTACATAGTCGCGGACACATTGAACAACGAAACAGCAGCTACAGTACGTCCGTTGCCGTGACTAACGATGCACATCCCAAACGAAATAAATAACGCGTCCACAAACAGAAAACGACCAATCTTCACGAAGGTTGCGCTGATCCTGCGGGCAGTAGAATTGACGCTCTCGAGACAAGTTGATTCTTGCTCTTCTGCCGAGGTCAGCCTTAATCATCCCAAGTCACCCTTTCGGATTGTAGGTCGCCCTGTAGGGTCTTAGCTCCAAAGGCATAGCCCTCGAGTCGATCTTCTCTGCCTTCTCCTCCTCCATACTTATCCTTGGATGTGCCGACGCGTTTTCTCAGAACGACTTGATCGATGTAACCTGCCGAAACTTGGACTTGACATCTGCACTGCGCTTCACAGGCGCCTCAGCCGGACTCCAAATCAGGGATGTAAGCAAACCTCGAAATTCGTCCATCAAGCCGCTGCAAAAGCACGCAAGAGGTTCATGTGAGGCAACAGCATGCAATCTAACCCGAAGCCTCCTCTGTCGAGTGAGGACTCCCGTGCTTAGAGTTGCACATGTCGGTGTCGCGACGTGCAGATTCCTTGCACCCCCGTGTCTGTCCCTCCATCCATCCATTCATCCATCCATCGGCGACATAGAAAGGGTAGATGCCCGTGCCAGTGTAGTTAATGATTCAGGGATGGGTGGCCGGAGTTTCAAAAAACGCTGCTCAAGTCATGCGCTAGGCTGCAGGCTGAAGCTTGGGTGCTTTACACTCTGCAGTCGGATGCCTTGCCAGACCTCACAGGCTGGGTCGTCAACCGAATCCCTGGGGGAAGGAGGTACGTTTTCTGCCTCCGGAAGTCTGAGGCCGTTCGCTCCGAGCGTCAAAGACTTCATGTACTCCAGCTGCTGCTGCCTCCGGGTTTCTTTTTCTGCCTGAAGTCCTTTGGCTCGCTCCTCCATCGCGAGAGAGCTTCAAAGTGGATAAAATTTTGTTGTGATGCCTTTGTAGGATAGGACTTTCGATGTGGGAATGGAAACTCGATGCTGCAAACTCTAACAGCAACAGGATCAAAAGCTTTGGCTTGGGCTTGAGAGGGACTTGCCTTGAGTGAGGGCGGTTCCTATTACAGTAACCCTACAGCAGGCAAGGTGTGGGCTTTCGGGTCTAAGCCATGACAAGATCTGAACCGTGCGAAACTGTTGTTCCTTGTTACACATTATCTTGAAGAGGCTGTCGCCCACGTTACCACAAAGAGGGAGTCTAGTCAGTGTCGATTGCCCAACCCACTCCTCGGCCGACTCCTCCTGATAGAGCGTCCTGCAGAGACATGCGAACTCCAGAGCCCTCAAGCCTTTCCCCATCTGCCTCTTGACAGTTGAGATTAACAACAGAAGCTTTAATGTGATGCCATGGGCACCTCGAGGCGCAGGCCCTACTCGCCCGATCCACTCCACGCTTGATTCGGTTCTCCTGTGCCCAAGCAGATTAAGATTCATGTTTAGGTCTCTGGCGGCTCAGACACTGTTCCAGTCCAGGTTCGGAATGTGGCTTCAACCGGGTACTGGCAAGAGTTGGAACAGGAGTGGTTCAGATTCGCCGTTGGCAAACATGTAGCTGCCGAAGGTTATGAATGCCAAACGTTGCTTGCGGTTTCCTGCGACAGCTTGATGATATTCCTTATAGCTTGAGCTTGAGATGTCCAATGTCGGTACAGGAAGCTTTCAAGGCACCGGGGGCCTTAGAATTCAAGAATCCTTTTTCTTATGCCCGAAAACCCATCTCCAAATCGTCTCATCCTGGTAGCTGTAGGGCTGCCCATCGGTAACGCCCTCATACCAGGTACAGGGGTAAAGGAGATTCAGGCTCTGCCGGCTCTCGCCGACCAGGGTCCTGGGCTGGGATGCAAGGCTCAAGCGGCTCCGGGCAAAGGGACTTGTCACTTGTCTATGACTTGCGCTGAAGCTACCTGATTCAGCATGTGGCTCTAGATCTCTAGATCCTTGGCAGCAAACAATCCACAACTTGTACTGGTAGCGGCAGCATGAAAACGGAACACCCCAAAGCTTTCAAAGCTCTCTGCTTGCGCCGGGCGTCCCCTCGTCCCCGAAAGGCTTCAAATGCAGGGCAGTCCCATGGAAAAGCTCCATTGGCCTTCGTTGCCCAGAGCAGGTCCGGTATTCGTTTGCTAAATAAGCTTCTTTCGTGACTGCTGCGTTCGGTGCTGGCGGTGCCCAAGCACAGAATCAGGCACCCAAGGGGCTTCTCCAGCACCCGGATGGCCATGAAGGGCTGCAGGATCTCCTCTCCCAGCCGTTCAACAGAGGTCCAGTATTAGCAGATGCATCGCCGGTCTACGACAGCCTGGCAAAAACCCTTCCACAGTCACGAGAACATTTCAGCTTTGGATCCTTGTCGGGAAGCATGACGTTTACCTTCTCGACCTGGAAGAACCTCGGTCTTGACCAATTACGGTTTGCAGGCCCCATAAATTTTGGAGGGTTGGGGCTTGTTTTCGAGCGAAACTTAGGGTCACAACATGAACCACGCATGAAATACACTCCCTGTCATTTGCGTGTGCGTACATGTTAACACATCTCACATTCTCTGGTTCTTGCGACAGTGAGCCGGTTACTTCTTACCGCACTTGCGATGTAACAGTACAGGACAAAAACAACTTATGAGACTACCTCTCTACCATGCTCTGCACCACTTTTCCAAAGCATGGCTGGCACTTCGGTACTCTCAACAGGAACACCGCACCGACTTGTCTCATTCTCTAAAGTCTCGGGGAGCACATGCTTCCACACGGAGATTGATTGAAGCAAAGGCGCTCGAAGTTTCGACAACCCTGCTGGCCCAATGCATCGGTTTTCCATTTGTGAAGGTGGTCGTCTTTGTTGTCTTCCTGCCCTTCTTCCACCAGCTTCTCGTACTTGAAGTTCATGGAGTAGTACCTTGGCATCGCGGTTTCAGTTTCTTCTGTCACCCAACTAACAGTACGATCAGCAGCACGCGGGCTTGTGAAACAAACCATATGCGCTTCGGTTGGGTACCACTGCGGGCTTGATAAACAGAACAGGTTGCAATCCTTGAAACATCTCAAACCCAAGAGGAGCTCCAAGGCACTTGCTGCGCTTGGCGCCTTCCTCAGGCCGCTCGAACCTTGAGAGGTTTACACTTTCCAACAGGATCCTGGATCTGGCGATTTCGTGAGCTGTTGGTTCGTTCTTCCCACGATGAAAGCTGTGGTACAGCAAGCGCGGCCCTCCCAGAGGCGTCCAAAACTGGCCCGAGGTCCGACTCCCTGAACGCAAGGCGCCACAAGTCGTGGTCGTGGGCGCTTTGCTAGGGAAGTGTGAGTGCGCTCTTATCCGGGGTGGTGCAACGACATCGGAAGTACCACAGATAGCTGTAACAAAGTAGAGCACAGGCTTTCTCGGGGCAGCTGTAGAGTATATTGCTGTCTTGGGTACAAAAGGTAAACTTTAAGGTCGGAAGCCACAGGCGAGGCCGCACAGCGATTCATGCATCAGTCCAAACATGCGGACTCGTCATCTGATTGGCTTTGTCACTGTGGGCCGTGCGCCCAGCTTGTCAGTCCCTTAACTCTGCCTCGTCCCCTTCTTGACAGGCAAAGAGGGGGAAAGCGGCCCCCTCATTCGAGCGTTGCCCTGGTCTTCGGTTCGGGCTAAGGCTGCACCAGTGCGGTACTTAGGTCTTTCTTCCTCTAACACGCATCTTAATTCAGGGACCCCCTACTCTGTCTCTCTCTCAGAAGCGCTGCCCGAAACCCAAGAACATCACTCCACCAGAAGTGCCACCAAGGGAACTTCTTCACCCGGACGTTCACCAGGGGCTCCTCACTTCTGCCTCCCATTGGGATCAAGTCTCGCAGCCCATACCTAGGAGGCACAGCAGGCTTGCACATTGCGGGTCTCCAGGTCCGAGGGAGCTAAGGGCGCGTGAGGGGTTCGGCCAGAGGATGGTCTTAGGTGCTTAGTGCATCCTGCGCGTCAACATCAGGCGCTTGTACGATGTTCGGTCTATCATGTGTTTGTCAGTCAGCCCTCAGTGCCTTGGGAAGCCAAAAGATTTCCAGTTTCAAGTCGCATGCTGCAGGGGTCTAAAGCTTAAATTGACGCAGCATGGCGCTGACAGCAAGCAAGATGCCAGTCCAACAGTAGGCTCCAGCCTTTGATGACCAGAAAGGCTGCCAAGATGCAAGGAAAAATGGAGAGTGGCCTTTTTGAGCTTGGAGAAGTGCTTGGTTGCATTGAACTCTTCCTCCCAAGGAGCAGAGCTTATCTCCAAAAGTACTGAACCAGATATTCGTCATTCACCCTCCCGGGTCATGTTGTCGCTACCACCAGGCATGAGGGCTTGTGGCCAAGACTTCGAAACCACCAAGCACCGAGCTGTCGACGAAGATGCTAAGTACATGTCTTACCGTCGCTCCTGGGGAGAGATGTTGGATTACGAACCCAACACTCCTTTTGAACCCAAACCAGAAAGCACGGTGACGCCTCTGACACGGGCCACATATGGATTGCAGGTAAATCGGCTCGGAACTTGGAGTGAAGCAGCTCGAAACCTGCGGTGTCAGAATGACACATGCTTACCTTGCCCAACACAGCAGACTCAGTGTGCGGGTTTGGGATTGGAGTTTCGGGCTTAGCGTTTCCGGATCAGGGGATTCGCCCCCGGCTGCTTAGCAGCCCAGCCTTCTGCAGCCTGGTGACAGTAAGTTGCCACACGGGCAAACTAGAAACTCTGCTGATATAATGTTTGCTAGAGTCTGCTAGAGTTGCTAGGGGCAGCCCAGGACTGCAAATTCCTTGCGAGTCGTAAGCACTTGAAGCCCCCATCCATAGCTTTTGGCAGCAACAACTGCGCACACTTCACACCCTGATTGATTAGCTTGCAGTACGCTACTTTTTGACAGTAGACATTGGCAAACCTTGACTGATGACGACCCAATCACTATCCAATAGCTGACCGTCTGTAGAATCCGACGATGTCGCCCTGCGCGACTCGAGACACAGCTGATTCCGGCCTTATGAGATCCGAAGAAAAGAACTGGTGTTAATCCTTATGGCAGCAGGCCTATAAGGACTTCGCCCATGGCCACGCTGCCGTAGTTCCCGCCAAAAAGCTGCACCCACTGCGGTTTCAAACCTTGGATGCTACAAAGCGTATAGCTGCTTAATGTTCAGCGGGCTCTGCAGTTTGGGATTCCAAGGTTCAAAGGTGGGGAGGTGTCTTGCGTCCTGCGAATGAAGATGGGATTAGGTCGGATGTGTTCGTGCAGGCACGAAGAGTCTGTCTCGTTGTAGCGACATTAGAATCGCAAATGAGGGAGGCATTCGGCGGTTCTGTTTGGATGTTTGTATTGATGTCGGATAGAAGGTACCAGTCTTGTGGAGTGGAGCTGTGCCAGAGGGCCTGGCCAAGTCTGAATACATCCCCAACTCCACCAGGATTTGTCGACAAGCTTGCTAGAGACTGTCCTTCCCTGCAACACAAGCCCTTGCAGTGCATGGTCGCCCTCATCCCGGGCATTGAATGGACACAATCATTTGGTGCATAGTTGAGCAATTTGAACCCATTGAAGCAGAGGCTTGAGCCACCCTCGAATGCGAAACTTATCCCAGCCACTGGGACTGCTCGCTCCTCTCGTAAAAAGCAGTGGTGCCACTTATGTGGTATCGTCAGGCAGGTTGCGGAAGGGTTCCCACCTGCCCATGTTGTCCTTCTGTCGCATGTACCTGAGAAGTTTTGTCACCCGGTACTTCAGGAAGCAAAGGGCAGGCTTGAGGAGACAGGATGCTGCATTCGCAGGAGAGCTTGCGTAAGGTCACTGCCAAATCACAACGGACAAAGACCCCGTATCTCAGGGTCCTGATGTGCTGCGCTGTCAGAAGGCACGATGGCGCATGTGCATGTGTGTGTGTATATGTATATGTATCTATCTATATATATATATGTGTGTGTGTGTGTATATATATATATATGTGGGTGCGTGGGTGCGTGCGTGCGAATGTGTATGTTTATGTGTAGATGCAAGAAAGCAGACAGGGCATGGGGCAACTGGACATTTCTGGCCTCTCCTGCTGGAGAAGTCAAGGCCAGCACGGGCGACTGACAGGGCTACTTCACTTCTTGTTGCCATGATTCCTCATTTTGCTTACTGCTGCCTGGGGTACTGCTTTCAGCTTTCAGTTGTCTGAAATGTTGCCGTTCTCAGTTTGCTCATCTATTGCTTCTCAAAATCCCACTGGTTGCAGCCAAAGGGACTCGTAGGTACACACCGTCTTGCCAATGTCTCTGTCGGCCTGAAACTTTGGAGAACATTGTTCCTTCAATGCTACATAGTCTTCTCTCTGCATTTGACATTTGGGTTTCCACCGAGGACCAACGTCCCCGAACAACACTTGTGGCACCGTTTCAGTAGCTGTGGGGCCGCGCGTGCTTTTTTCACAGCATTTCAGAGTGCATTGGATCCTCCCCAACAACAGTTGGAAGTTCTGTCTCGCAGTGTCCTTGCCCGATAACCAGCGTTGCCTGCATAAACGGCCTGTTGAACTTTGGGTCTGGTCATGAGCGCTTTCACCTTGTGCCTCCTAACCGAAGACATCCACACGGGTACACTGCTGAGATCCATTGACCAATATGAATGGAGGATGCCCGGCAAAGTAGACCCTACTACAGCAGCACGGAAGACGCCTGAAGTACCGATGCAAAGCTTCCGAGGTCGAAGCTCCAAAGGCCGAAGTTCAGACAGCGGAAAAGGCTGGGGCACACTGAATAGAACAGACGCAGACGGTAAAGATCTAGATTTCAGTACATCAATCAACACCCAGGATCTTGTACGCAAGCATCTTGCTCTATGGACAAACGACAGCTCGTCCCTGCCTTGACTCCCAAGACGGTCCTGCTATCCAGTAGGGTGACAGTAATTGGCTCCATCGTCGGTGGCTCCTCCATTCGGCAGTCGGCACTACCATCAAAAACAAGAGAGTTCTGAATGTTGCGCAACGAACCCCAGCGCCCCTCAGACACCACAGGACTGCCAAGTCCACCCAGACACTTTGCATGTCCTTCGGATGGTCGGAGCAAAGTGTAACTCTCAACTCCAGTGGCTTCATCCACATGGGTCGCACCTGCCAAGACAAACACTGAATCTCAAGAGTCTCTGCCTCTGCCACAAGTATCAAAGCGGGCATGAGTTTCCAGGACACCCTGAATTTTGATTTAGGGGACCTCTTGCAACCATGATGGCGAACAACAGTAGGTAGGCCTGGTGTATACCCGCTTCTGCAGCTCCCTTGACCTGCAGACTGGGCTCTCAATCAGTACATCGGTGCCTGCCCGAACTCTGGCTCCGTCGTTTTGGATATTCCAGCGCATGCCACACGCAGTGCGAGATTCGCTCCAGCAGTGTCTACCTGGCTGAGAAAGTGACACCCTCTGCTCAACCCCCGCTCAGATTTCCTTCGTCAGCAGACTTGCATCAGATGTGAAAACATTGACACCAAAAGTTGAGTATAAGGGTGAGGATGCAGGAGACCGCAAAAACATGCAGGCTTTGTGTGCGAGCTGCTTTGATGTTGCGGGCCATGAAAACGTACGCGCGGACAATGTAGACCATGGGCTTCACCGTCCTGTCAGGTATGTGAGCAGGGAGACTCGGACAACTGCTGAGCTCCAAGACAGCTTGGCCCCTGAAACCACCAAATCTTCATCGTGAGGTTGCGTCTCTCAACCGGGCACTTAGACTTGTTGGGTGCCTGATGCTGTCTAGCGTAAGCAACAGAGCAGTGGTCTTGAGAGCATAAACTCGCAGCTACACTCATTGTGGTCCAAGCAGAAACTGTATAGAAAGGATACTGGTGACAGGGGTACGGAGGGCGACAAAGTCATCGCTTGATCATCATGCTAAGCATCGCAAAACTCCTCACAAGGTCATGCTGTTGGCGGCGGGCTGAACTCAAGAGAAAGACGTACCAAAGGGACAGTAGCGTCCGAATGCCAATCGCAAGAATGATAATGGCACCATGGTAACACTCATAGTCGCAACGAGCGACATAGCAAACATAGTTCTGACGCATTAAATTAAATAGTGGGTTCCAAACTAGTAGTACGAGGAACACACTTCTAAGCTTCGGTACTAGGCACACCGCACATAGGGGCAACAACCATCGAAAACACACGCGAGCGTAGCGATCACCGTGCCAAGCAGAAGCTGCGCAGTAAGGCACTAAGCTGCAGGGAGTAATTACATGACAGGCAGCCCGGTTCTTTAGCATTCTTCGAAGTGAATTGGGTCGTGGGGCAAAGATCATCAACCATGTGGTTCTGATTGTTGTGATGTTTCAGTGGGGGTCCTTCTACACCCTGCGAGCCCCTCTCTCCAGACGGACAGTCATTGCTCTTCTCACAATGATGTTTCTGACCAGCCCAAGCTGGCAAGGATGTTAGCAGAACGAAGCGGTGCCCTGACTCCGGAAGCCGGCCTCCGGTTATGCCGCGGCACATCGTCTGTGGTGAAATGCTCGATGACCATGAGGACAGATCCAGGTATCCGCGCGTGCATGTTGAACCTGATTCGAGATGTGGTTTCGACCATCACAACTCGGCGAGGGACAAGTGAGCGTCTTGATTGGTTTGGGGCACTGGCGGCAGTGTGTGCAGCCTACTGCAATTAGATTCCTTCTGCATCCCCTGCACCCAGACACCCAAAAACACCCTATGTCCTAGCTCGATGTCAAACAACGACCCAAGTAGGAATCTTGGTAAGCTGGCTTTGGAGTCAATATAACATAGTATAGTGACTATCATCATACCCTGAGCCTTGATCTCGGACTTCAGACCTCACATCGGCCAGGTGGCGGCATTGGTTCCAACGGGATGTAGCGCGGACGCCCGGGACTTCCTGAGTTTCGGTCTCGCGTGGCCTATCATCATTAGTTAAGGAGGACTAAGCCGAAAATGTCCCAAAACCCTACGCGTATCACCATAGGACCAGACTCGCAAGATAAACCAAGCTTCCCGGCTCGTATTTTTTGAAGTTTTCCAGTTGCCTCATGGCGTAACCGACTCGGACCTTTCCGGAGAGCACGCCGCGAGTATAGACATTGACCTGGAGGGAATAGGTGCGGTGTCAGTGAAAAAACCCACCCCATCCACGACAGTCCGATCGAATGACAGTCACTTTTGATGTACAGAATTGCACACGATTCACGACACAACCAAAGCTTGCTTGGTAACAAGCTTCAGCCCCAATGCCCCATGCTTCCTACATTAGTTACGCGCCCCCGACGGCAGCTCTGAAATTGGGTTGGAACCTGCATGCCACACATCTCCATCACTGTCCGAGAAATACATCTAGCTCAAAACCCAGGACCCACGAAGGCACGTTCTGCAAGCCGTCAATTTCCCAAACAAACGCCACAGCCCAAGCTCAGAAACCACGACTCTCGGAACCTCTTAAGACTCGCGCAAGAGATCGCTTCCCCCACGCCCACCCCCCCGCCCCCCGGGCGCACCATGACCAGAGGTTGCGACTTCGCCTCCTCGGGTGCCATGGTGAGGATGGGGTCGATTCGACCTTGATCCTGCCGGAGCCGGAAGTAGCTGCCAGGGTGTTGTCTTTGTTGCTTTTCAAACTCTGATTCTTCGTGATTCTTCGGACCGATGGCAGAGGCTTGCCGATTGACTCTAGCAACTGCGTAAACACATTGGCGGGCTCTTTTTGCAAGGTCCTGCGTGAAACTGAACGTGGTGACCTCCTCCACGTCGAAAATCTTATCGTCCTCCCCGTAGTCATGAACTACGCCCTCAGCTGCCGGATGCTGGCCAAGGACTGCCAAGCGGGGCCTACCAGGCGCGACCCGACCCGGCGCGAACTGAACCAGGCTCGAGATAGCAGTTTTGCATGGTCATTCCGTGATGAAGCGGATTGAAGCGGCTTCTGTAGATTGCATAAGGCTGCTGCAATGGCTCTCTTACGCTGCACGAACAGCCCAATCGACTTGATTTCGGATTTCGAGTTGCATTAGTTGCTGGAGCCAGAGTCTTGCCAGGGAGCCCCTCTATCGTGGGCTTCGATGGTTGCGATCTTGTCAAGGCCACCAGGAGACACCCAGTCTTTGGTCTCCTTGGTACTGCTCCTCGGATGGGCGGACAAGATTTTTATGGAGAAGCCCTCTCACAACGCCCTTCAGCACTGGTACGGTGTCAGCGCATTGAATATCAGAAGTGCTGTCTTGCTCTGTGACCGGGCAACCGTTTAACAGCATTGTTGAACCCAATGAATCCTGTGGTGTAGTGCTGATGCTGGCAGAGGCTCCCAAAGGCGAGCTGGACCTGACATTCGCGGCCGGCGGCTCCACAAACCTCGCGAAGATGTCTGGAACTCTGAACAGGAGTTTACGAACACATCGCCAAGACCGAAACCTGAGTGCCAAAGTCGCGATGCTCTCACACCCGAATGCCTCAAGTTGACAATGGCTTCACATGAGACCTCGTAGACGTCCGCTAGCAACGCCAGCTGCATGTTTCTCGGCTCCACCGCACCTCAAAAGATCGAAACTACAGCAACCCTCGGCGAGGGGAAGGTCACGGCAAAAGCTCAAAACAACATCCCTCGGACTTCTGCGAGCTGGCGCTTCCAGGAGTTCGGGGCCATGCTTGGAGAGAGGCGACACCCGTGAAACAAGTGCGCGAGCTATTTTTGATTCCTGAAAATGATGATGCACGGTTTCAGACGGCTGAAGCTCTTTTGCCAAAGGGCTCCTAAGTACTATATTTCTGGGCTACATAACACATGACTGGTAAGCTGCTGCTCAGGTAACTGGAGCCACAAGCCTCACAAGCCCAAGGGCAAGCTGATGTCAGATGAGGCGCTTCTGGCGGTTGTGATCCCTGCGGGCATCATGGTCTCGTCTGCGCCGAGTCGCTCCACACGGCCAGAGATCAGCAGCTTGCCTGCTATATGACATTATACTGACAGCTGCATTGTCAAGTTGTAGTATCTGCAAACTCATTAAACTGACATGCTGTCTGATATTATGTCCTGTTGTGTCATGTCATATCCTATCCTGTCATTTTCCATGGCTTGTGGCTCCGGGTCTCGCGACTCGGAGTATTCCTCGCTCTCTGAGATTGCAGGAGTCTAGCAGTCTAGCAGTCTTGCGATCAGAGTATGGGATCTCTGGAGCTTGGGTCGCTTGATCTGCATGTCCTGTTCGATTGCCTTTACCAAACTGGAAGCCCCAAAACCCGGAATACACCCCTCTGCTACTGCAGGGAAACGACCGCGGTTTCTGAACGAAAATCCCTGTGTCGTCGACTTGGAGGGTTGTCCCTCCAAGAGGAATGGCCAGGAAGTTAAGGGAGGCCGGTAACTTTAGACGCCGCGCGCTGGTTTCTAGTACTTGCACCCCTAGATTTGAAGATGGAGGCCGTCGTGCCATTTCTGGTAGAGCCAGGATGCCCTTGAAGAAGTTGGGCTTGATGTTCTCCCCACTCTTGGAGATCCTCGGTGTGCAGTGGCGACCGCTGAAAGGATGTTCGCCATTGGCTCACCATCTTTTACCCGCGTAGATTGGCTTGGACCCTTCTCCTTCACCAGAGAACACCCGGAACAAGTTCCGCCTAGTATAGAAGGTTGGAAGAGGGCCGTTTCAACGGCAGTTTGCATGTCGAAAAGCGAGGCTCGCAAATGCCCGCACTACATGTCGACGACAAGTAGCTACCCGCTACCCTGCATGGGGCCTGTGACCAAGAAGCTAAACAGTAACACCAACACTGTTCGCAATCGCCCACACTCGCCGCTAAGTATTTCGGAGGTCTCAGGACTACAGGAAGACCTGCCACCTGCTGTTCCAGTTTGGACCAAATTTTGCCCGCATGGTCGGCCCAGGCGCTGCTTCACATCTGGGACCTCCTCGGTGTCCCAGCCATAGAGGCAGAACCTTAGCACTCGCAGAACCACCGCCTAAGGCAATCGGTTTGAGCCTTTCGGCATGCGGAAAGTACAAAGGGTGGGAGAAAGGATTCGTCAGATCTCTCAGCTGTACCCGGTGGGGATTTTCTAAAATTCGCGCTCCCTTCTGGACCTCCGGAGCCCAGACTTCACCCAAGGCATGGCGTGGAAGCTGTAGTAGCAATGTCAATGTCAACATGTTCTTGGCAGCAGTGGCAACGTCAACATGCCAATGTAGCCGCCATAGTTCTTTGCAGTCGCTGTCGTCTGTGGTATAGCGGTAGTGGCAGGGGCAGTGGCAGTGGCAGTCGTTGCCATCGTCATGGAATTTGTGGTGTGGTGGCGGTGGTGGCGGCGTCAGTAACCCATGAACGGCGAGGTGCCAGCGCGCGGGCAGAGAATTGTTCCTGGAGGATGGGACTGGCTTTGGCTTGGGGCCTCAAGTTTCTCGAGTGCTGCCAGTAAGACCTCAGAAATGCTTGCGTACATACAAACGCAACCCAGGCGACATCGGTGCAATGCCGATGCTACGAACAATACACTACTCGACTATGTATTTCGGGCTGCAATAGATAGCTTCGCACTGCAGTACCTTTGCTAATCTAGAAACTCTGGATTGCAGAATCTACCTCAACCTCGCAAACTCCGTCAATGAGGAGCCCCCTCCTGAGCTCGCTGAAGGAGATCAGCCCCTGCGCTAGCCTGGTGAGTTAACAAAGCTGGGGGGAAACTGCGTATGAGTTCCTAGAGAGAAGCTGCGTAAACTGATTTCTCTACCACTCAGGTGTGGAAGAATTCTAAATCTAGAAGAAATTGAGAGAGACTCCAAAGGAATCGATATGCTACCTGCAGGGAGATTATGCGGACGATTCCTTTACCGTTGTGTTTCGTCAGAGAGCATACAGTAAGACCGCTGGCGATAAGATGGACGCAGCCTGCGAGACAAGACTACGTACAGATGTGTGTGTGTGTGCATACTTGAAACCCATGCACCTGGGAGGGTTACAGTTTGAAGCCTTTGGCCCAAACGTCAAGCAATCTGTTGCGAGGACGTCCTACGAAGCCCAACACCGCTTTGCGGAAGAATCTTCTCAGAAGGATTCAGACAGGATCAGCGCCGGGTGTTGTCAATTTATTGTCGTTACCAAGTGATCATAAAACTGTCGCTTGTGTCATCGCGTACTAGTATGGGCATCCCACCTGAAAGTCGCAATTGATTAGATGGCTGCCGCTGTGTTTGTTCCTGCTACTGTCATCCATGTCGACCTTGGGGTGCGACGGTGTAAGTCTCATCAACCCTGGTAGCAAGGCGAGTCTTGAGTGCTGTACCAGAAAAATAGAACGAGCCAAGCCGCAGGGCGTCTGGGGTCATCGTTAAAGCAGAGCCCCCACTCCAGAGTTTGATGAGGATGGTATCCTGGTAGGAAGGGATCTATTGCGAGCGATTTCGGGCAGTTTCTAATTGCACCGACAAATGAGGGCTTCGAACGATCCGGGGATCCAGGCTTGCATAAGGGCTTTTGAACCCTCGTGGAACTTCATGGTCTCTAGGCTGGAAGCTCGACACTCCCCAGACCAGAATCACAAGGGAAGATGGCTGAACGGTAGACCGGCAAATAAAGTCAACATTTCTCGGGCCTCACAACATCAATCCTGGAGGCCAAGGAGAACAAGCAAACCGGAAGCTCAGCCTGACGCATGCGAGTCCTCATAGACTGGTGTCTGCACAGGTATTCTGGCACACTCGTTCCAGGTGTACCTGGGCTTGGGCCAGGGCAAACCGGCCAAGCCTCTAGGAACCTACAACATGAATTTTGGGCATGCTCACGGGTAGTGCACGTAGGAATGCGTCCCTCGTGCTGAGCCACTTCTGACCCGAACACTTGTGAATGCTTCAAACCAGCTCGGCTTTTTCACGAGATTCAGCTGTAAAATTTCCGTCCACGCACACAGCATGGAGTTGATATCGACACAACGCATGGCAAAGCAACCGCTCCCTTTGGAGCTGAGACCTGGCTCCAGCAAAAGCGCTCGACAACAGGATTGTTCCAGCAGCTTAAACAAACAAAACCATGCCTTTTTCAAATTTCCCATGTGGCGATTACTTGTTCGCTTTGTTCTCCTCAGCGGTTCTGATCACATGTCTTGCCGTCGACATCACTGATGATCTGCCTGTTCTTGCAACTACATTAACTATACATTCGAAAAATATGGCAATTTCCGTCTAGATCTCCACACCAGACTGGCCCTTCCAACACATCAACAGCAATGCCATGGCACTGCTCCACGTCGTACGCGGGCGTCGTTCTCACGCCTTGGCAGAACATGGGCACAAGGGGCGTTCAGAGTGCAACAAGCGGTTTTCTAGAAGTACTGCCGGAAGACTCGACCTGATGATCACCAGCTGCTAAGCCCGAAGAGCCAAAACTCAAAAGTCCACACCCGGAGCGCGGATTCCTTTTGCAGCGGGCTTGCCTCGTCGCCCGGAAGCTCCCTCTGCCCAGAACGTGTGTCCAAGCAGAGACGAACCCTGAACCTTCGTACAAAAGCCCGACAGGCCCTTCTTCAAGGCCGGCAGGCAAGCTCCAGAGAACTCCACCGTCACAAAGGGGTTGGGATTGTACCCGCCGATCTTGGCTAAGTTCCTTGGGTTCCCAGCTTGGCGGAGGTTTACGAGTTCCATGGCCCAAAGTATCGAAAGCTCTGTCTGGAGTTGATAAAGGCCCTCTATAGGCTGCACGCGAGGTTCCGGACTGAATACTGATCAATTGAGTTACTAGAAGGCAAAAGGTTCGCGTCACTACCGGTGCTCAAATGTAAGTGGCAACCTAGCGCTGACCCAAGTATTTGTCAATTTGTACAACGGTGCTTTTCTGCATGGCAGCGAAGAACAGGGGAGAAAGGGTTGAACAGCCAACCACGATCCCATCGGGGTGTGAACAGCTTCACCAAGCATCTCTGCCCGGTAGATATTCACCAGGACATGGTACCTGGGCCGCCGCATCGATGAACACTGCAAAGCAAGAGGCCACCAAAGTCCAACCTCCCGTGCACTCTGCTAGTGCCAGACACCAAACTTAGATGCATCCATCTTCATGCATCTTCTCATTATCCCGAAACCAGGTCGCGACTTGCCCACGTCACCAGTGTCCGCAGAAGCTCCCAGCACTGCTTTGCTCAGGTCCTCTGCCGAAGTCACTCTCCGGATTTAATTACCGCTTGCCACTCACACCAGAAGAAAAACATGAGGCATGGGTTCCAAATCTGTGTCCTCGAGGTCTTCGGCAGCTTCTCCCTCCTCTTTCACCTCCTCACCTTTCCGCGGGTCCACGTTGGCAAAGGTCTCTGCTTGTGGTTGTAGGGTTCGTACGGTTTAACAGCTGTGGTGCAGAACATGCTCAAACTTTAAGGTGGAGGGGTTCTTCAGCTGACGAGTGAACCTTGTTTAGCCCCCAGTGGGACCGACTTGCCCCGGAGTAGCGAGGAGCAGTCGATCTCCGAAATATATTTGGAACATCGGTGATTCGATGTCCATGCCAGAAGCCCATACCGTCGTTCAGTTCAGCATCTCTACATTATGACATTGTTGACATTATCGCCCGTAACAGAATGGGCCTTGTAAAAAATGAGGTACCCCAGCCGCTTCAACCTGGATACAAAGATCCGAAACCACAAGGCCTACACCCTTTTGCGCCTTAAGCCCTGCCTAAACTTAAACCCGTAAGACCCCTTTCATTTCGCCACACGCCGGTCGAGCCTTGGGGCGCCGACTCGCCCGGCTTCAGGCAGAAGACTGTGAGGGTGATCATACCTCCAGTACTGTGATATATGCAAACTCAATAAATTCAATTTAAAACATATGGAATAATATGTATGTATATATATATATACATGGAGAGCATGGAGAGAGAGAGAGAGAGAGAGAGATGATACAAAATACTGTGGTAAATCGTAACAAAGCATGTAGCATGGCTCTTGAAGCCCAACACTGAGATTCGTCAGCGAGTCTATGTGTTTGTAAGGTTGCAGGTGTCAGCTTGCCGGGGCTCAGTGTTCTCGAAGACTAGAAATTTAGCTTTCGGTGCAATACAGTGCATACGGCATCAGGCCCGCATGAGTTCCGAACGGTGTGTTCAATCGGGCCTTGTGAGCAAAGCCCAGCCCTCCGGATTCAGCGAATAGCTTTCAGCCAGTCGGTTGGCGCGTAACTATGAGCCGGCAAAAGAAGCAAGTAGGAATGCTGTCTGCTTACATGCTATGTGCTTATAGTTTATAGGCTCCTGCGTATGAAAATCATAATATGATTGGATAAACATAACAATATAAGAAGAAACAAAATGTGTATGTGTATATATATATATACATTTATTTATTTAATTTTGTATATTTATTTATATTTACACACATACATTCCTGTGCGCCGTGTGTGTGTGTATATATATATATATGTATACACATGTTGATTGAATGTGACCCCCACTCTGAGCTGCATCCCGCATGCCGGCGCCTGTTGCGGCAGTCTCGCCCTCCTTCCGAAGAGGAAGCGACTTCTTCATATATACATGACCTGATCGGACATGCTGGGGTGCAAGCATCCTGCAACTCGACGTGCAAAACTTCTGCAAAGTGCTGCACCATTCGAGCGGTTAGCATTTGCCAAATTGGGACATGGTGCTTCCTGCAGTCAGCTCTAATGCGTGTCCTGAAGCGGGCACCTACCTGCAAAACTTCTAGAATCTACAAGCTGTGACCCGGTTTGAATATACCAGCCGCGTGGCGGTATAGATGATAGGTATACACATGCACATATGCAGTATGTAAGTGAAGAAGTATTATAACATGCATGGAGAGAGATGAGTGAAAGAAAGGGAGAGAGAAGAACAAGTTGAGGCATTAACCATCGCAATTACAAGGAAGTCGGCGAAAGCCGACACCCGGCCTGTTCGCGCATTCACGCTCTTCAGTTGGAGCGAAGCTTTGCCGATCTGGTAATTCCGAGTGAACCAATTCCTCAGGCTGGAGTCAACAAATATGAGCTTCTGCATCCGGACCATGTGAGCGGCAAAACCAGGGCTTATTGTGTCACTTGTTCTGCTTATGATGGGTTCGTGATCATGGTTTGGCATGTAGGACATCTTGTACAGGCTCATCTTTGGTCATGTTGATTCCGGCAGGCCGGCAACCTACAGAGCTTTCCTCTTTGCATCTTCTGGCGGGTCCGTGAAGCTTGATCATAGCGTGCACTAACATATTTGAAGCATAGGGCTCTCAGGTGATCGTCGTACAAAAAGCTAGAAGGGCTCAAAGCTCGTAAGGTGCGAGCTCAGCCGCAAGCCCCCGATTTCTGTGCAGGGCAGCTCAATGCGCTTCTTAGCCAGCTAATACTAATACTCTCAGAAGCGAAACCCCGCATTCAGGGCATAGCTGCGCCGAGTCGCCGTGCATAGACGGTGAATTCTATGTAGGCCGACTCAAACCTGCGCCGAACAGGTGAATGGGCCTTTCCTTGCAGCACTGGCAGCCACTCCCCGGTACAACCTGTTCAGCAGGATCCTACGGGACGAAGACAATCCAAGACGCTCTTCTGGGTAAAGCTCCACATCTGGCCAGATGTTGTCCTCGTTCCACGAGACGAACATGGCCTCCGTCGCAGGACGGAAATCATGGCAAGAAGTTCGGAGACTTCCTGTGCAATGTGGCAAGCTCTCTATACGGACACCCCAACCTCCCTCAGGAGCCTACGCCCTCGATTCCAAAACACTCCAGACTGTGGTGCACAGCGCAGTCGCATCTGCGCAGCCAATTCTGAGAAAGGCGCAGAAACCGGCAAGCCTGTACAGCACCCGCTAAAATTGAACCACGTAGAGATCCCCAAGTCGTACATTTAATCAGGGTCTCGAGTCTCGAAGCCCAAAAGGTTGTCCCACAGTCAAAACGTCGAGTTTCACACACAGCCGGACCTTCCCCTCCTTGGTGTCGGTCTGGTAGCGCTTGCCGCAACCTCGCGTCTCAACACTGGGTGTTGCGCACTGGGTCGTTGCCCCATCAAACTGCCTCACCTCTCCCGATTCTAGCACTTGCCACGTCAATCTTGAGGATCCGCCAAGCAACATTCCACCACCACAAAAGGGTCGCATGGCTGGCTATCTTCAGTCGTCAGATTTCTTGCCTCAGTGTAGTTTGGTGCATTCAAGTTTGTCAAACTGCAATGCTTCCATTCTACACAAAGCACCGCATATGCATAGACGAAGCACTGGAGATGACGCCCGAGGATCAGGCAGGTTTTGGAGAGATTGCATACCCACGGCACTGCAATGTTACATGCTTAATCATGTTGAATGCCCAAGCGGCATCTGCGATTTCGAAGCCAACCACATACTTCTGCATTGCGGCGGCATAGGCATGGGCAGGAAAGCCACTACATGGGCCGGCAGCAGAGCTGAGCCGACAGAATGCAAAAACAACCTTCTGTTCTGGGCATTGGGTATCAACACGGCGGCTTCGCCATTGAGTTGGTCTCAGTGGAGGGCACGCCACTAAATCCCGAACTCCAATTTCTGGCATGGAAAACCAACAGATTAACAAAAGAGACTATACGTACAAGTGTGCTGGCAAACCCGCGAGAGCGAAAACTTCATGCGGCCTCAGCATTCTTCAGGGCATAGGCGACATTGATCCGGAGACGGCATGGCGGAGGTCCTGTGCGCAATCTCGAAATTCTGCCTGAGGCCCACATATATGCGCTTGTGCCAAATCCGAGGCCTTCAGCCCCTCTCCCGCTTGAAGAAGAAACACCACATACTGTACAACAAACACAAACTTTCAACCAAACCGCACGTGCACCTCGACGTGGGCGGCTCAGAAGCAGCGCTCGGCGCTGGCGAAGAGCTTCTTCGCCACCGCCCTCAAGGCATAGAGGTTCGGCTGGGCTCATAAGGGCGTGGGGGGTATATTGTCGTCAGCATCGTTCTGCCAAACAGGCACTGTAGGAGCATCAATGAATTAATGAATTCATGCCTCCTGCATCGCTTGGTCAACCAGGGTTCGAGAAACTTCAGGATGGCATCCACCATTGACTTGTAAGGGGCATGCAATGAGGACACCGATCCCCGCCACCAAGACCATGTCAGATGTCGTTTGCCCAAGAACTGTGTATTGTACCCTAGCGTTTGGCAGAGCTCTCGGTTTCAGCACTCACAATTAACTGAGACAAAACGGGCGAGGCACCTAGTACCTCTGAGTGTTTATGGCTGAACAAACTGACGGTGCTGCCGCCTAGCTCGCCCAGATGCCCCTAAAATTGTCGGTATAAATGAGTAAACACTGAAAAAATGAAAGGTCTGTCTGTATATATATATATATCTATACATACATACATACATATGTCTGCATGCATGCATGCCTGGATGTATGTAATTATTATATATACACACGCGTAAGTTTCTATGTGTGCCTGTGTGCATGTGTGTATATATATATATGTATGCATTTATATTAATATTTGTATGTAGACTTGTACTTACGCAAACACACACACACACAAACACACACAGACGCGCACCCACAAATTACACATATGCGAACATGTTCATTCTATTCAAGATTGTATGAGCAACGCATGTATTGATTGCTTTTGTTCACATGGAATATGGCCATTGAGACTTACAAGTCATTGTTGACAGGGATGTGCAGCAGCAGGGCTAACCAAGTTGCAGGATACACCGAGAGACCTGAAAGAAAACCTGTCATGCAAAGGCTTCAGAAAACAGCTTGGCTACCCGTAAACCCTAAACTCATTCTTTTAAACCCAGGCGCAAACCCGAAGCCCTAAACCCCGCTAGCCTTGGCCATGGGGGGCCGCACCGGAAGGCTGCAACTTTGCTCCAACTAAAGCAGCTGCGGGATGTTCACAAACGCACAAGTGATAGGTAGAATCGGACAAGCGCAAGGAAGACGATGACAATGGCGAAAGCGACGATGACACTGCCGAGGATGATTCCGACTGTTCTCTCGATAATCAGCTATGTGTAGACGGGTGAATGTTGTAGCTATATACAGTACATGCGGGCAGTACCTACTTTTGTAGGAATGGCGGCTGTCATCGTGAACGAGGGTCCTTTACCCCCATTCAGTTCTTCCGAAGAAGAAGGGGCCATTGGAAACAGGATGAAACAGGGCAGAGAGTGAGTGAGGGATAGGATCTGTAGGCTAGACTCCTGCGAATGACTGAAGCTGAAACCTCCAGGCCATCCCGGAGTCGCTGCGACTCAAGGGCTTTTTTCGCGATTGTGGAGGTGCGCCTCGTCTGGTCCGCTAGAAGACACAGACAGCAAGCGCCGCAAAAGCAACGGGATCTCGGCGAGAGACCATATGACTAAATGGATATGGAAAAGAAGACGTTGCTCCAGGGTTCTTTCCTGGAGTGCCAACTTGAGCTGAAGGTTGATTGAGTTCCCGGTGACCTCCAAGCGCTTCGCAGTTGTATCGGCAGGTCCTACAGGCTTGCAGAGGTCATTGGAACGTCGGCGGCTCATCATCTCACTTTTAGATGGTATGCCATCCCTTCAGCTGCTCGCTTCGGGCACAGTATTTCCTGGGGTGCCTTGATTCTATAGATCTTGCGGGAGCCTTCTGCAGTCATGCATCGAGCTACTCTGAATGATGTGAGGTGCCCGCAATGTGAATCACAAACAAAGCTCGGGAAATGACTCCCAAGCTTTGCTCGAACTCCGGCTCAGTAGACGTTGTGCGTCTTGGGCTCCCTTAGCAACATGGCAGGCTTTTTCTTTATCGCCTCTTTTCCATCAGCCCAAAGGAGTTAGAATACCAGGGTTTGGTGGAGGCATGGTGATGGGAGCCTCAGACCTGGAAGGATAGACCACCCATTGCATCCCCCGTACCGTAGGCTCCCATCTGCCGAACAGTCGCCTCTCTGTAGGACGAAGCACATCCTCACTATCTTTACCCAAGTGACTCATAACACCCAACTCTTGCTACTTTCTCGACATAAAGCACCCCTGACCTGCCCAAGGAACCCCGAGCTCGCTTGCTGCACTGCCGGACTAATTTTATTTTTCACGGCAAGCCCCACCTTGTTTTGTCGGTCTTCTGCCGCCTGCGGTCTGACCAAGACTTGTGGGTTGGGGCGTGGAAGCCCCCGAAAGCGTCAAAACCAACCCTTTTTGGGGCACTATCTTTACAGGTGCCGGGTTGCCAGGGAGAGGGCTGTCTGTACACGTAAACACAGTTGGGAGGTGGATGCCCAGTGGCCTCCAAGGGCCTCTGGGAATCTCTGAGCAAAATGCGAGCGATGTTTCTACAGATCGACAGGATCAAGCGAAGTCCCAAGAAACATTGCCAGAACACACATCACACCTGGGAACAGCGGAAGGCAGTAAAGGGAAGCGTTTCAGCCCTTTCCGAGCTCCTTTCCCGGGGCGGCACTACCTCTTCAGATAGGCCAAGCTCCGGATCTTTGCTCTCTTCGGCCTTCTTTTGCTGTGCGACGTCGAGCTTCGGATCCTCCTTGCCGGCCTCCTTTCCAGCCTTGGGTTTCGGGCAGATCCAGCCACAAAATGTCGCAGTGAATGGGTCGACGATGACGAAGTCCAGGAAGATGGCGAAAAGGATGGAAGTAGCCCATGTGGCCAACATGGAGTTCCAGGAGTCCAAGGCAAAACGCCCAGCATAGTGCATGCA